CCTGCGGAAGAGCTCAGGCGACCAGCGCCTGCCCAGGGTCACACGCCACACACTCGGGGCAGAAATAGCTCTGACTCCTCCCTCCTGACAGTAACCTGCAGATGGCATGGCCTTATTACTGCGCTGTCATTGGAATCTGAATCATTGAAGTCGGCCCTAATTGCAGGCCCCCAATTAAGTGCCCTGTGACTCTTAAGTGTCAAGCCAGCCCAGGGAGGAAGGACTGAAATTTTACAAATTCCTGAACGAAGAATTAAAATGTTGGCAGGGGGTAAAGATAGGGTTAAGTGTTTGAACATGACTTCGGTACTGCTGACAAGTATCATTTTTAATTTTTTAAAAATAAATTTGAGCTGCCACTTTCAATTTGTCCAGTAGATTGGAAGAAAAAGCAATTGGGTTTCAAATGAATATCGTTCAAAAGGCGTTTGAGGGTAAGTCTCAGACCTACCTAAGCAGTCAATCCTTACGCCCTTTTTGTGCCCACTAAATTACGCACTCACTTTAATATTTAAACTCCCCTTTTAACTCCTTTGTAGGCAACTATGGAGCTGGGGCAGGTGGGCCACTGGTAAATAACCAGGCTACATGTAAGTTCAGATTTGTACACGGGGCCATCCACGTGCTCTGCCCAGGAAAGAAAGTAAATTCCATTAGGCAAATTGTTCTAACTGATTCATTTGTGCACAAAGAGACGCCACCTACCTGCTCACAGGTATTCAGGTAAATGACAGGTGGGCGGGACCTACTGACTGTTTCAGTCGCTAAGGTCCCAGCAATGCTTTATCTGTCCGGGCTTCCGTGACGTCACACATTTCCTGCTCTGGACCGACCAATGCCCTCCTCCTTCCTCCAGGCACCTGTACACCGAAGTTGAGGCAGGTCACAGCCCCGGCTGTCCAGGGAGCTGCCGGGTCACACACAGGGATGAGAGCTGCCCTGTTGCTGCTTTGAAAGGCCCAGACAGACACTGGAAGAGGTGAGCTGAACCTCCATTTCTCTCTCTTGGTATTTGGGCCTCGCGCCCCTAAGAGATAGGAACAGGGCATTTGAGTGGGAAAAGTAAGCTGATTAGCTCAGTCCTCTGTGTGCCCCAGAGGGAGCTGTTTGGAGAGGGATGAGTTGGAGGGATACTTTTGACATTCTGGAGGTGCCTTGAAGTCACCCGGGCCAGATGCTTAGTTCCTTTTGTTTCTCCTAATTATTAATCCAGCTTCTCTGCTTGTCTGCATAGTTGATCTGATGTTTCAAAACCCTGGAGCAGAGAGGAGAGGAGTGGAGATGGTTTTTGAAACATAACTCCAAGGTGCAGCAGACCTGCTCAGCCCGTTTCATGGGGGCTGGGAGGCCAGCGCTGCCTGAATTCAGTTGCTTGTTTTCACTCTTATTCCGCTTTATTTTGCCTTCCCTGCTGCATTCCTTTCACCAGAGACAGTTTCAGTGTAAACATCCTTGTTTGTTTCCCCCTGGAGATCCTTTCCTGGGGGGAGACTGTGTTCCCCTTTTCAGGAGCTCTCTGATTTTTTTCTTCCCACTTTCTTTGAGACAGTCTACCATTTTCCTTGCTCCTTGGGCATTCCTTCTGAAACGACTTTGCAGTCTGGATTAGAACTGTTTGCATTCAGACCTGAACGGGCTGCCTGCTGACCTTTGGTTAAAGTAAAGATTCGTGCCTCCGTGCCACAAGAATGTAACTTGGGGTTGCTTTCTTTTCTCTTCTTTCTTTCTTCCTTTCTTTTCTTTTTTTTTAAATTCTTCCACTTTTTCTGTCTCTTTTCCTTTTAATAGCAAATATACTGAGGAGCTCGTACTGCCAGGACCTGACTTTGAAAGTAATTTTACCTCTAGGCTCCATTTTTGTTTCCTTAATCCTGATCACTCAGCCTGCGCTTCTGTTCTGGATATGCACGTCACCACACTCTGCACCTGGTATGTGGTTAGAGAAAGGGAAGGAACCGCTTCCACACCAACTCCCTCCCGGGAGGGGCTGGAACCTTTGAGAAGAGCAGTAAGTCAGGCGCTTCATTCTGAATTCCCTCAGCAGCGATTTTCCTGAGATTTAAACTGGCAAATGTGTCTTCAAGGAAATAAGCTGTAAGATGTTGCACTCCTGTTGGTCACCCACAAATGCAAGGTGCATGGAAATTCTTTATTTTATTTTATTTTTTTGGAGAAGTTTTTGCTATAGGGCACGTGCTCCCGCCAGAAAGACAGAGAAAGAGACAGAAAGCTAGAAATCACCCCCCAGGGGGGATGACCACGCTGCAATCCCTTCTCCTCCATTTTCCTCTTGGGATCTTGGGCACGCACGCACATGCGCCCAGTATGAGTTTAAGCCACCGGGTCCGGGACTCGAACCACAGTCGATAGATGGGAGTCCAGCGATGTAGCCATTACTGGTGGTCCTAAAAGTCTTACGTCGAAACATGCTGAGAATGCTTATACTTCGGACAGTTGCTTCCTTGCACTAAAACCCTCCCCTGCTCCTGCGGCCAATTTCTCCCTGAACACTTGGATGGTTGTATTATTCTTTCCTTTTAACTGACCTTGGTGTTTGTGAATTTGGAAGGGGGCTACTGCTTGTCCCTTACTAACATGTTTACTTGATATGACGCTT